CATCTAGCGGATCAATCAACTTTGCCCATTTCACAGTCAGCATTTGGTATCTTTTTGATCATGACGATCATGTTTGGTCATGTTTCGATAGGTTTCCCATGGTTTCCCAGTTGTCCATGCAAGAGATCGACTCCATTCCATTCCATTCCATTCCATTCCATTCCATTCCATTCCATTCCATTCCATTCCATTCCATTCCATTCCTGCATGTCGGCGATGTATTCCTAGTCTTTCCCACCTTTCGATTGGCCAAGGGACAAAGTGCGACTAGAAGTGCACCGTTATCCCGAAGAGCCAAAGCCTTGAAGTGACATTTGAATTTCAACACGACCCTTGGAGACGGTATGCAGGGAAATACTTCGCTACATTTTGTGACAATGTGTGCAGTATCTCATGTCCTCAGCACTGACAACGGTGGCTGAACGATCCACCAAACTGGACGATTGAGTGTCTTCCCATTTTATTCCTGCAACATTGAAGTTTTCACGGCTTTTCACGACAGTCAGGTTTGAGGTGTCGCTTTCAAAGAAAGCAAGTCCGAAATTGGGATTCAAGTGTGGGATCCCAGCCTTTCCTGTGGCGAGCCAACAGGCAATCAAGCATCAGCATTTCAGAACAACACGTAAGTCACCATCAGATTGCAAGAAGATTCACTGAAGTACGGGTCAGAGTTTACGGTTGGCCGTGGGAGGGGACTTGTCAGATTTGTCGGCGTCGTCGGCTGTAGGATTCTCTCAACAGGATGGTCAGTAGAAAACTATCCTTGCTATGTACTCGTACGGTTTCGGTTTCTTGGTGGGGGTCGTTTGCTTCCATTGAGGTCAGGTGCAGCTCAAAAAGGGATCCCATTGAGCCTCTTACATTACAGCTCGACCACCAAAACCAGTGGAATGAATCAAAATGATCGTTGACATTCGTTGACCATTCTGGATTTGAGGTTGGATGCTTTATTATCAGTTATTATCATTGTTGTGCCTGTGCCGCGAGGTTTGAGAAGCCCAGCAACGAGAAATCCCGGGAGCTCAAGATAACGGAGGCCAAAGTTGAGATCATTTGTGACATATGTGGCTGTCATAGGGCAGGGTCCCTCAGCATCCAAAGATACAGTCTAAACTTGAAACGCTGCAGTATATATTGGTTCGAAGTTCGGCGAGCCAAGAATGGCAACAACAAATGTTCAAAGTGGTCAGCATGCCTGGCAACTAGTACTGTAATTGCTCGGAAGCTGTCAGATTTGAACGCGTAGGGCCGTATTGGGTAAGGACTGCAGTGTCTCATGAAATCATGCAAGGAGTTGAAGAAAAAATCGAAATGCTTCCTACTCACCTGGCCCTTGAATGTGGCAGATTGGGCGAGAAGGCGCTCTTCCAGACCAGAATCGACAAATGGTCCAAACACCTGGTGGGATCAGATGGGGCCGATGGGGCGTTGTGTGAGGGAAGTGGTGGATCTCAGACGTCCGAATTTTCTCGGCATGTCATGATTGGCCTATTATCAGCCTTTTCAGACTTTGTTAATTTTGATGACATGCTGAAATGGCATGCCTGACAGATCGTGGCAGATCTTGACAGAAAACCACCAAAAGCATTGGCACAAACCAATAAACAAACACATACATACATACATACATACATACATACATACATACATACATACATACATACATACATACATACATACATTGATACACACATTGATACATACACACATATAGCATACATGTATAGGGTATGGTATAAACTGCAGAAATGATTCAACTTACGCTGGGAGCTGAGGCAAATGCTGGACGGTTCCACTACGTTGTGGCAATGGGCATGCGAATTATCAAGGCGCTCCATTGCATCTTGTGGCCGTCTGCGCTTGCACTTCCTGCCCTCACAACTTGCCCTCATTTGCTGCGTGGTTCGAAAAAGAATGAAACCAATTGATGCGGCAGGATGCATCATGTGTTGTTCTAGGTGCTATTGGGCCATTGTTTTTTCTTTGGTCTTGGTGCTGCAGAGGTCAATTCCGTGGAAGGAGATGCTTTCCAAATGAAGGAGGACTGATGTCAACGGATGGTGATGTCAAAGACATGGAGTGTTTCATGTGCAAGGCTGGCCAGGAATCCCTGGGGCAGATTTCTCCGTGCTGACAAGTAAATTGCACGGCTTCAGCAGCAAAACTACATCCACCTTGTCTGCACCTCTATGGCAGCACATCTAGCAGCACCAGGAACTCAGGAATGCAGAAGAGGTGACAATCAAGGTTAGACGACAGGAGGCGCGAGAAGGAGGTGTTTTGGGTGGAGTTACCAACATGCAAAGCAGATCGAAACGGATTTCGGAAATACATTGAAACTGCACGGAACACATCCTGCGCAATAGTCTGAAAGAATGGGATGAGGCTGAAAGGGATGGGGAGCGAGAGAGGGAGAGAGGATGATTAGGATTTCTGAAGAGTGACAGCCAGAATTAGTGATGTGAATTTGAAACCTGCTTCAAGATTAATTAGGAATGTTTTGAATATGTTTGATTTGAACCCATTTGCTGAAGAGGACGGTGGACTAAGTAGACAGTCTACAAAGCAGGCTGTGCATTGCAAGGTCTATGCGCTGGAGCGCGCTAGGGTGATGAAGCAGGTGCATAACTTGCGCCTACGGGGGGCTATTGTGGAGGTGAATATCATACATCCATGTAAAGCTGCACATGTAATATGCGTGTGTATACAGATATACATATATAGAGGCATGCAGCGAGAAGTGTAGACGCATTACACAACCACAGTCGAGTATGATTAGTAAACCAACAAAACCCTCCTCTCGCTCTCTCCCCCCCTCTCTCTTTTTCTCTCTCGCACTATGTATAGAATGCAACTACTTACACACACCCAGAACCACACAGACACAAACACAAACACAAGCAAGCAAGCAAACAAACAAACAAGCAAACAAGCAAACAAGCAAACTAGCAAACAAGCAAACAAGCAAACAATCAAACAATCAAACAATCAAACATTCAAACAATCAATCAAACAAACAAACAAACAATCAAACAATCACACACACGCACACACACGCACACACACACACATATATATATATATATACATACAGTATATACAGTATGCACAGTGTCTACATACATATGTCATATGATGTCATATGCACATGCCTTTGGAATCCTTTGGATGATGTTTTTTTCATGTTTTTTGTTGGTCATTTTCATGCCTTATATGTGGGCCTGAGGGCTTGGCAGGCGCAGATCCTGGCATCCCTGTCGAATCTATCTGGTGGAGCTCCTGGAAGACTGAGCAACGGCAATAGCGTTGGTTGAGTCACAAGCAGATGCGAGTGATGCGAGTGATGCGGGGAAGATGGAGAAGATAGATGGACAATTCACGTCCGCGAATGTCCGCCATCACCATTCACATCCACGGAAGTTGGGAACATTTGGGAGCCATAAAAGGCCGTAAATGTCATAAAATGCCATAAATATCATAAATGCCATAAAGATCCATAAAGGCAATCAAGGCCCATCCAATCCCCGACCTTACATTACCTTGTGCAGTCCAGGGCCCATGAGATGGCCCGGAATTGGCCCGGTACAGTCACAGAGGTTTAAGCGAATTTTCCGCGTGGTTGCATTGCATGTGACCAATCACAAAATGACACGAAATGCACAGCAGATGCACAGCTAAGGGCTGTGAGTTTCACTCCAGAAGCCAATGGAAACTCTGTGTGCTAGAGCAGAGGCAGGTGGCAGGGTTACGTTGTGACATGTGCAGGAAAAGTTTTAGAATATGCTAGAATAATCTAGAACATTGCTAGAACATGCTAGAGTGTTTTCGTTTCGGCAGGCTTTTTGAACTGCCGCTTGATTCAAAGATCCAACATAGCTCATCGGTCCCTTTGGATCCTTTTGGTATTTTTTGGCAAAGATTGCTCCTTCCAAGCTGCAGCTGATTCCATTGAGAGTGATCATTGGCATCCAATTCACATTGCTCAATCTTCCCACAGAATTCCAAGAGGCGTTTTCAGCCGGGCTGGACGGGCCAAAGGCTGAGTGTCCGCCCAAAGGCGAATGACCGACCAGCCAACAACCTGAGGGCCAGAGACCGCCAGAGATGGCCAAAGATGGCCAGAGATTCCAGTTCAAGTCATTCCGTGGAGCAAGAGATCTAAACTTCAACACTTCAAGTTGCCAGGACCTCGGGTACTTGGCAGGGAGCCAATGCAATTGATAGGAAAATTAAAATGTTGTGTCCGAGCTTCCACTTTTGTGCAAATTGGAGGGGGGGCAGGGCGTCGCAAAAAATCCATAAAAATCCGTCGAACCAATCATGGCACTATTTTTGATTGTGGCAAACTTGGCCATTGATTGCCATTGATTGTGCTTAGGTTATCTTAGGTTTATGATGTTTATGGAAAGTACCACTTGGTGCAAAACAGATTGAACAGATCGACAATGAATTCCTGCAACAACATCATTGACCTGTAGCGTTTCATTCTGGTGATCAACACTGTTTCCATCAATGAATTTGCATGAATTTGCGGCATTTTTGTGGCTACACTGTTTTGCTGTTTTGGTTCGCAATTGTAAATTGCATTCAACAGTTGGGACGAATGTACTGAGACGCAACAGTCAAATTTATTTTGCCCAGTGATTTTTCATTCATGAATGTGGCTGAACTTAATCTTAAAACCAACCAACCTGAATTCCCCAATTCGGCTTCTCCTTGCCCAGGTGCCAACCATCATTTTTGGTGGTTGAGTTTGTTGTAACTCACCCACGCGACCCACGTTTGAAGGTGCGGACCAACAGATTTGGTAAACATTTTACATTCAGCAACCAGGCAAATATGAACGCACATCAACTGGGCCAAATACATTTAAGATCATTTAAGTACTGAGACGGTTGCTGGTCAACAATAGGCATGAAACAAATACTATTGAAGGATATTGAAGGCATTTGGGTGCAAAAAAAACTGAATTTCATGCAAGGAGATCTCTTTTTAGCGCCATGGGAAGGTTGCAATGGAGAGTTGGTCGCAAATTTGTGGCCCTGTTTTCATGTTTCGCAAACCTGTTCAGATCAGTGCCGAATTTTCTTTATTTCTGGCATCCAGTACGCAACGTGGAACAACTGCAAAAACATGCCCGAGCAGATGAAAAGGATTCTCCAGATGTGGTTAGGTGGACAGAAGAACCAGAATTGGGTGTTCTTGAAGTTGAACAAAAATTTTATTGCACAGGTGCCTTTCTGCAAAGGTTGGGGCAACTGGCATATGTTCAATGCCAAAATCGTTTCACAGATGTGTATTTTGACGCCATCGATTTGTCGCTCACGAAGAAAGACATGTGGTTGAGGAGTCGTGATGGAAATTTGGAACTCAAAGTTCCTCACCACATTCAGGAGACTTCAGTCAACTTGTACATGGAAATTTCCAACCACAACGAGATTGCAGCATTGTTGAAGAGCACTGAGATACATGTGCCATTTGACCAAGAGATCTCTTCCGCGCACCTGGCAAAGGCTGGGGTTCAACCGTTTGCGGAGATAGAAACCTGCAGGAGCAGGCACAAAATCCAAATCGATGCCGACACGCCTGATATTCCCTGTTCAAGTTTCGCTGTTTTTGTCGACATTGACCAAGCCTCCTGTTGAGAACTTAAAAAACAGTTTGTCTTTTTTGAAGTGGTTTTGGCTAAAGGCATTTGAATAGATTTAACTACTAGGAACATTTGTGGTTCCGTCATTTCAGATTCTTTTTTTTTTCAATACCCTTCTTTTTGTTCTGCAGGAATTATTGTAGTCACCGTAGTCACAAACTCATCAGGTCAATTTTTTGGAAGAATCTGTTCAGAAGTCGGAGAATGACTATGTCATTGGAGAGGTGGAACTTGATTCAGAATCCGCGCCTTGTATTGATACAGTGAATTGACACAAGGTTGACGATGTGTACTAAATAAAGATAAATAAAGACGTTGAATCGGCATGTATGAGCATGCAATGAGCATGCAGTGCATTTTTCCGTATTTTTCCTTTGTTTTGGTTCGCCATCAGCCGTGCGTACAATAGGGCAGTTTTTTTTTCCCCCTGAGGTGAAGACGCTGTCAACCACTCAAAAAGTTCAATTGCTTCGATATGCCTTGAATACCTTGGGTATCACAGCGACCTCGCCGCCATCTGGCTACTGGGCCAAATTGAAGGTTTTTTGAGTGTGGAATTTTGAAGTGACATTGATGATATTGATGCAAGGTTGTGAGATTGAATTTGGATGCATTTCTTAGAATGCTTCTTGCTAGCATATTTGGACAATATCTTGCAATGCTACGGTATTCTAGATATTCTAGACTAGAGATGACTAGAGTAAACAATATGAAGAGATTCACATGTTTGTTTCCTTCAATTTCCCTTGTCACTTAGACTGACTTAGACTGACTTCGACTGACTTAGACTGTACAACATTGGTGAGCCAGTCAGCGTACCAAGTTCACACAGCGTGCATTTGAAGGAAAGGTGGAAGAATTTCTCCGAAGATATCGACCCACACACTATGAAGCACTGCAGGTGGCTGGCATTCTAGCCCCTGTGCCAGTATAGTCAACATGCTTCAATCGCACTTCATGGGCATGGCTCTGCTTGGGTGTAATGAATGAGTGGAACAGAGGCTCTGCAGTGGCGACATTGTGGATTTGTGCTGAAACTGCCGTGAGATGGTGAGAATGTGACACAGCAATGTCCTGTTTGAACATCGGCCTATATGGATGCTGCTCACAAGCAGCCACGTTTCGTCCTGACATAGCCTGAGAGTGGCAACACACCGAGAAACATACAGTGAAGTGAAGAGAAGGAAGCTGTGCTGGAAAACCAGAGATTCAAGCAGAAGCAACAGCGTGTTCCCAAGATTTTCCATTGGACCATGGTGGAATTCTCTATCAGTGCTCTCGAAATCGTGGTGGACCCTTGGACATATTTGGACATGGCACCTGCTTCCAGCAAAACAGGCACAACTGGCAGCATGAGTCCAGCGCAGTGTGCAACAGTGTGCAACCGGTAGCATCCATATTATATATCATATTATTATGTGTAACAATTTGTATCTCTAGTCACTAGTCTATAATAGTCTATAAATGTCTATAAAAGTCTATAATAGTCTATAATAGTCTATACTAGTCTCTATATATGATATATATATATGATATATATATATATGATATCTATATATATGATATAATGATATATATATATGATATATATATATGATATATATATATATGATATATATATATGATATGTCTATGTCTATATTTATTCTATATCAGTTTATAGTGGTTCATATACATATAAATTAAATCATATTAAATCATCATTAATTATAAATGTATAAAAAGGGTTACAGAGATCGATTAGTTGGGAATGTTGGAGATGGGATACGAAGTCACTGCTTGCAAAATTCATGCGCCTCTTTCATGATTGAGATGTCCATCAAATCACTTGGACCACGCGTTTTCAGAATTGTGGCATTGCAAGGAAGTGTTCATAGACGAGTTCATCTTGTTCATGTTGGTTGTAGTGTCAATATGCAGTTAATATGCAGTTCATATGCAGTTCATATGCAGTTCATATGCAGTTCATATGCAGTTAATATGCAGTTAATGTTCCTTAATGTTCTGGGATATTGAATGATATGGATGGACAATGGATACGTGTTGTTCATTCCTGGCTCAAGCTCCACGGAGCTAGGGCTGTGGAGTCCGATCTCGGAATCCGCAGCAACTCCGCAGTTGAATGCAGAGGCCACGTCCACGGTCCAAGGGAATGCCAGGTGAATGTGATATTAAAAATCATTAAAAGACCTGATCTGACCAGATTGGACATCACTTTTTATCATTATTTTTGATTTGGTTTTGGATTTGGTTTGGGATTTTGTTTGGAAATGTTTTCTTACATATCATGGGGGGGGGGGCAGGGCGTCAGTGAAACTGCGCGACCGAGTCGCTCCCTTTCTTTAGTTTCTCTTTATTCCACATTGCACGAAAAACAGCTCTAAGACTTCCTTTTTCGACAAAAAAATCGCAGCATGAAATTAGGCATGGCCAAATTCCAAAAAGATGAAGTGGTCTGCATGCAGGAGCACTCAAATCCAATGGGCTGTCAACGACACGTCCATTTCAAAGTGGTTTTCACTATGTTGATATGCGGTGTGACGATTTTTTGTGCCTTGAAAGAAGCCACAGCAAAGGCGGCATGTGATTGTGCCATTCTGTGAGGCTGATAGGTGATCCTAGGTGATCCTAGGTGATCCTAGGTGATCCTAGGTGATCCTAGGTGATCCTAGGTGATCCTAGGTGATCCATAGCAGTTTTTTTTTTAGTGTTGGAATCCTGGAAGAAAAAATGATTTTATATGATTTTACTGCAACACCGGCCGACTAGAAGAAGACTGGCATGTCCGCACTTGTTTTCGAATTGACATCATGGCAGGCAGCAGAGCTGATGTTCTGCTGCATTAGTCCCTCGGCCAAGCAGACCAAAGCCCGTTGATGGTAGGTGTGATGTTTGCAAAGTCAGACAGAGCTGGTCTTGCAATGCCAGTGGTTTTTGAATGTTCTTGCCAGTTTTGGAAAAACAGAATGAGAAATCTGAAAAAGACAAACAGATCAGGAATCCAGCAATGCATATTTTGGTCTTTTTTGATCGCACTTTATCATGTAATTATTTATCGTATGTTCTCCAAATTTCTCCAGGTATCTCTCGAAATGTGTCACGTTTAAGTTTAAATGATTCACGATTCACGATCCATAAATTCTGTGTAACAGATATGCATGATCCGTATGTAAACCAAGTGTAAATCCAGTACTTTGTATGCAACCAAGTTTTGAGAGCCGCAAAAGGGCATGGGAAGTGCTGAGGGAACATGAGAAACATGTTGCCCCATTGTTCTTTGAAGATATCACTTGCCAGGAGCCTCGTTTGGGCATCACAAGTCAGACCTACTTCGGTTGGACAGGAGTTAACAATATCCAGGAAGAGACATGAACATATTTGACATATTCCCAACAATCCAAGAGTTTAATTTATGATGTTTGCTATTTGCAGTGCATACCTACTGTATGATGCTTCTCCAAGACAAAGGGACAAAGGGATGTTTCCGTTTCGAGCCAAAACCAATTTGATGAGTACCCTATCCCGCTGCCTCAGTCACAAACCTGGTCTTCATCACAGCGGTTGATGGGTACAAGGCGCCAAAGGTCTCAATATTTGGAAAATTCGGATACATAGCGAATATAATATATATATATATAAATGGTGCGAGATATAGCACGTATTTTAATTTCCATGTTTTCCCCATCAATTTTCTATAGCGCTTTCCTTCGACTTGAATCTTCTCCCATTCCGTTCAATGGAGCACATGTTACTGATGTTTGAAGGAAGAGGAAAGCTACTGACTGGAAAGTCTTCAGAGGAGTGTGTAAGATGACGCACCAATGTTACATAATGTTATACATAATGTTACTATATCATTCTATATAGAACTATATAGTCGGTTTGATGATTCATGGCAGGTGTTGGCGCCAGATGCACCACAGGCGCAGCAAAAAGAACTGGCCGGAGAATATGTGTTCGAACAGCCGTTTCCGTTTATACACGGGTCACATGAAAAGTACAGAAAGGTGTTGTTCTGTTCGGGGTCCACTTCATTCCATGTCAAATTCTTGGAGAGTGATATTTATTTGTTGTTTGTTTTGCATCAAGCTGCACTGAGGAATGTCAGCCCCACTCTACAGGTGACATGTTCTATGGACAAAATCATTTCCTTGACACTATGATATTCAATATTTCACTTTCATGAAGCACAACTTAAATGCAGATGTCATGAATGTCATGAAGATTCATGAAGCAGTTGTGCTTTTGGAATCTGAATCGAGTCATCTTACGGTGTGGATGGTGTGGTAGTTCACGTAGGCAGTTCGACGATGTTTGACGTAGGCAGTTTCCGCATCCGTCCGCGGCAGCGAGGTGGAGGTTTTGGTGAATGGCAGCCGTCCAGAAGAACTTTTTGCGTCGGAGATCCGTTTGGGACCTTTGGTGCAGGACGATGGGATGGGATGGGATGCTGAGCCTGATCTGATAGATCTGATAGATCTGATAGATCTGATATGATCTGATAGGCTGCGGGAATTGCATGGACTATGACTGACTATGAGACATGAAAAAGTGAATGAACTATAATGAACTTGTACGAAACGACTTCTCGCAGTTTCGGAGTCTTGGATAAGCTTAATTATCCTTACTCATTTGCAAGTCCACTTTCCCGCCAAGCTATTGCTATAAAGGATCACAAGAACGAAACTGGCCCTTTTTTGTTTTAATTCTAATGTGCACCGCCACTCAACAACAACACGTTCCTGCTGCCAGAACGAGAGCAAGCCAGGGACTTAATGAGTTGGATTCGGTGATACGTTAGATGAGACTAGTACAATCTAGTCTAGTACATACCAGTGCCAGGTTGAAGTTAGTGCAAGAATCTGCAATGCGTCATCATGCGTCATCCTCAGGTTAGATTCCTTTGGCTATGCAAAGCATCCAAAGGACACGTCGGTCACCTCAGGAGTTCTGATAGGCGAACAGCTGTGAATCCTTGTGGATGGTGTCTGCATGTGTCTGCCCTGACACCGATGCTTCTACTGACCAAAAGAAAGTAAGAATTTGACACTTTCTGAAAGTTCTCATACTTTCTCCCTCGACTCGAAGTCCAAGCTCTCGCATGGTCTCACCTCTGATCACTATTGATCACTGTTATATCACTGTTTCTATTTGGTTCCTATTTGTTTTTTACTTGTTTTTTGATTCTTTTTTCTTTTTGGTCTTTGCTGGTCTTTGGAAGACTGACGGTGATTGAGGGTGATTGACGGGGATTGACGAGGTTAGATTGGCAAGACCTTCGGAGCATCATCAAGGGACGAAAGTGCTCCAACGAGAAGGTGGCAAGAGCAGATGGGGTCCTGTCAACATATTGAAATCGGTTCATGAAATACATTGACTACTGTACCATTTGTACCCCGAGTATGCCACATAATTATATTCAGGGTGCCAGGGTGAACTGGCCCACAGCCAGATGCTAAGCAGTGGTAAAGAATGGTAATGACATCTAATGCGACACTTGTCCCGGGTTGTGAATGGTTATGATATGTCAATGATATGTCTGATATGTTATGATGGAGATTAGCTTGACATCACTTGACTGACTCCAGCACCTCGATTTTGATGGTTTACCGACGTTTACCGCATGTTCATCTCGGGAGTGCCTTGCATTCCTTGCATTCCTTGCATTCCTTGCATTCCTGGTGCATCTCAGGCGGATGAACAATGCGGAGAGTTGGTTTGCCGAAAGGTGCGAGTGAGCACAGTCCTGGCATTCCGGTTGCAACAGGGCTCGACAGAGCGTTTCTGCGCATCTGTCTGGAAACATACATCATATTATATTTATATATATACATCATAATTAATTAGAAGACATAGATTCATATAGAGACATCAACATTTTATGACGAGAATAGGGGTCGTGTGGATTGACTCACACCGACTACGTAGCCCTCGCATTTCCTTTCGAATTGGGGAGTTGTGTAGTTTATAGGCAGGGCAACTAGCTCTCCCAAACAGGAGATATCGAACAAGCATTTCATGAAAAAAATCACATGCAGAGAGAATGGCTGTCAGCAAGATTTCATGATTTGGGTAGAGTCATCAGATGATATTAGATGTCATATGATGTCATATGATGTCATAAGCCACACAATTTGACACGCAGCCATGCCGAGTCATGCTGAGTCATAGAGGACTGCTTTGAGATGCTGGAAATCGAATGCAATTCATCAAACACGTGTGCGCAAGATGCGCAAGATTGCGCTCATGCAATGCTGGCGGCAGAGAATGGCAGAACTATGCAGAAACGAAATCACTATTGGAGATATTGGAGTGGATCACAGTGGACCTGCCAGGGGCTGTGCAGCTACTGCACACAAGACTCCGAGTGCCCTTCGCTGCATCAATGCATGATTAGTTCGTCACTTTGCTGCACAGGGTGTCAATATGTGTCAATCCTTGGACACTTCTGTTGCAAGTTCAGTAGTGTTCAGTGGATTCGGTCCCGAGATGTCCCGAGTGGAAAAAAGATGACACAGAAATACAAAGAATGTAGGGAAATGCACGAAATGCAAACGCTTGATGCTTCTGAAGGTTCAAGTTGAACGATCTGATGCTTCTGAAGGGTTAAGTTGTGGGTTGAAGTCCGAAGCAGTCTACTTGTTCACAGCAAAAGTTGGCCGCGTTACAAAATCTAGTCAACAAAAAATTCAGGCTCTTCAAGATTTGTGCTTGTGCCTGAGGAATGGTGGGCAAACCTGCCGTGCGATGCAACGCAAGGCACAGGGAATCCCACTGTGATTTGTTGCTCTGACTGTTGGTGCATTGCGCAAAGCACAGGCATGGGAGTCAGCATGGAATGATCGTAGCGAGCCGCTTGGTAGCAGGAAGATGCAGGAAGTTGAAAGAACCTGGGATGTTTTGTTTGTTTTTCCCCACCTGCCAAGTGAGGGTCTCTAGATTTTAACAACGGTGCAGCTCCTTCGTCCTCTTCTCCTCCTTCTCCTCATTCTTCTCCTCCTTTCTTCGTCTCTTCTTCCGCCCAATCTTCCTACTCCTACTTCCCTCCTTTGCCCCTGGCGTGCTCCTCTTGCAGCTTGGCGTGAATGTGGGTTGCAATTGTAGTGAGCCATATCTCGAGCTCCGGATGCTTTGGAAGGCGCCTGGACCCGAACTCATGCCAGAGAGAATGCCAGAAATGAACGCCGAAATAGATGCCAGAAAGTATGTCAGATAGAATGTCAGAATAGATATGCCATATTATGCCATATATACTTCCAGATAGTGTGTCAGAAACATTCAGAAACTATGTCAGAATAATAGTGTGTCAGGGTGGGGATCATTGGAAGTAAGGTAATCAGGTAATTTGTTTTCCTAAATGGATGTTCAGGAATTGGATAGTCTTGGTTCGGCAAAGCCTAGGGAATCCTGTGGTTTGAATCTAACTAGCAATTGGACGTGCTCACCAGTGCTGATGAAATGGACAATTGTGCACCTGCCATTGCCATCCATTGCCCACATACTAGCTGCTCTGCAGAACAGCTACAACATGCTACAACCCTTTGAACACATTTTACATAGTATTCCAGATTACCCAACTTGGGTTTTTGATGCTTGGATATGCTTAGTGCAAAAAATGCAGATTCAAAACCAGTCTGAGAATGGGTCATTGTGACATATTGTGACCATGTTTACTGCAATACCTATCCATTATCCCACAGAATCCAAGCAATGCCGATTACTGTAACTTGAGCAATTCGAGTTATTGAGCTGAAGTGGAGACTGTCAGACTGTCAGGAAATTTTGCACGTTCCTCATTCTGGTGCTGGGACCTCAGATAGAATCGAACATCACGGGCAAAACAGCTGAAGCCGAAACTGCTGCCTTTGCTTCAGTCATGTGCTTAAGTTGAGACCTTCACATTGGATGATTGGATGATTATACAACTTCAAAATGCTTCAAGTAGATTGTCGTATAGATCTAGACTTATAGGATCTTATAGGTGTCGAAGATCTAAGTACTCTAAGTGCAGGAGGGCAACCCAGCAATCTATGTGATCTTCTCTGCGCCTCGTAGCTTCGCTTGTCCCAGGTCCTCTGCTTTAGCTGCTGCATCAGGAACTGGTGGCGGAAGTATCTTTGTGCCTGTCCTGATTTCCTTTTCTTACTTGCAGGCCCAACTGGACATCACTGGACCTGACAATTGTCATCAGTGTCCATGAGCGTCCTAAGTCCCAGAGGTTGGTAACAAAATCACCAGCACAATTGGACATAGTTATCATAGTTGGACAAGAGGATTATCTGCACCATTCGGGAACAACTGATGTGATGCGCAGAGTGCAGAGAACATGCTGCAAGAGGGCTCAGCAGCAGCATCCAGTAGGTCTGGCCAGTCGTGTGCCGGTCTGCGCATGTTTGCACGTATTATATGGAAGGATTGAACTGAGACGAACTGAGTATTTGTTGCTCAAGCCGTTTGCCCGCATGAAGTGACGCATTGTCCTTTTGTTCGGCCTCCCTGGTCAGGAATCCGCAGTCGTTGCATTGTCTCAGTTCATGATTCTTGCAGGGGCACCAAGGAGTGCTACAGCAAGTTGCTGCAACCTTTCCTCAACATGTCTGAACCACACGATACCACTCAACTACCATCATAATGAGTGATATCATATCATGAGTGATATCATATCATACCCATACTGTATCCATACATATCCATACTGTATCCATATCCAATCCATATCTATATAATATATGTAATATATATATATATTAATATCATTCTATATCTACATCCGTATACATATTCAATCACAGCATATCATATCGTATCATATCGATTCATATCCATCATTGCATTGTACTTAAGACGACGAGATACTAGGATGGGCAACGTGGAAAAAAAATACTGGGAGCATCTAGGAGCTCAAGGATGGTCAGGGAACAAGTCAGGTCGGATCAATGGTCAACCTCTCTGTATTCGTTTCCAGAAGGCCGGGAAAGTTAGTTGAGCTCAGTTGAATCACGCTCATTGGAGTTAGAACCCAAAGACCCACTGCACTTTGGTGTATATTGACATGATATTACAATGTTGACATATGTTGACATATGTTGACATATGTTGACATGATATTACATGACAATCCCGATGTTCACACTAATGTTCACATGTTTCCACAGAAGGTCAGTTCGTGTCTTTGCCGGACCTTTTGCAAATCGAAATCCTGCAATGATCCCAGATTCCCAACACAGTGAGGCAATTTGGGCGTGGTGGCCACCACATTGGTCACAGATTGTTCCTACTAGGATCTACTAGGTCATTATATAATATTGTATTATAATATTATATAGTATATTATACTATATAATACTATATACTATTATATAGTATTATACAGTATTATATAGTATTATATAATCTTAAACTCCCACAACATCTCACCAGAAAGCGCCGAAGTGTGATGTGACAACGTGATACAACATGTGCTATCCCCATGGCCACGCCAGGCATCCAGACTTCCCTGAACTGCCTGTCATCGATTATGACCGCTGCCGTTCGCAAACTTTGGATGTCTTTGGGAGGGAACTGACACATTTGTTGACAGGTTAGGAGCAATATTTGCGCAGTTTTGGTGTGCCTCAGTGGAACTTGCAGTGATCTAGAGTCCTAAAGTCTCGAAACAAGATTTTGAAAAGAAGAGCACCTCTTTTGTTATCGTTTGTTGTATGAACATGCTGACAACGGGAGCGAAAGTCACAGAGAGGATAACTTTTGGTTGTTGATTATTGTTCATGTGTGCTTCTTGTGTTTCTCGACACTGTTTGCCACTTTGCGACAGGATTGCATCGTGGTGCTCATTCCGATGCTTTGCTTAGGAGTTACCTTAGGGGTGCCAGACTCAGTCCATCCTACTCCGTAGGAGGCGCTCATAGGCATCTCCGTAAGCTAAAGACCTGGCCAGTCGCGTGTTCCTCCACGGATGTTCAACAGACATCAACAGACTATGAGTGACTCTTTGATGGGCGCGACTGTCCATTTGCTGGATGAAAATACTTGAGCCCAGCTATGTCATCAAGAGTCCTTCTCAATGACACAAGTTGCACGCCCCATGTATCCCTATGTTACATATTACGATTAGATCCGTTTAGCATGTTATGTTACATCACAACATGTTTCAACTTCTAACCTATTGCGCTCAAATGCTGATTATGTTTTGCTGCGCTTGGCAGGTGTTGGTGAATCGATCGGCGCCTTCTTGGTTACTTTTGGCGCTCCTTTGTTCCACATTGTGTGGGGCCCTCGGAAAAAAAAACAAAACTATGGTTAATCTATGGTTAATCTATGGTGGTTCTATGGTTAATAAATCACAGCCTTTCATCTCCGGCTGTTCCCAGCAGATGTTTTGATGGTGCAAGGCCTGGCGCTTTGGCGCACTGGCACCAAGGGCTTGAAGCAGCTGAAGAAGGTCTGACTCGGAAAAGACTCCAAGGGAACAGGGGTTGATTAACAATGGGAGATCGACATTGCGAGAACTAAGACGTTTCTGATGTTTCTGATAGAAAGGGCATTCCACAAGATCAAAGTCAATGGTCAGAAGTGTTATGATTTTCTTGACATGTTAGTTGTCACCCCATCACTGTCAATTTTGGAAATTACTATATATAATTGTTTAATCAAGCAAGTTTGCAATATTTTGGAAATTTTGGAATTCTGTTCTCTGATGAACAGCACAAATAGGTATATAATTTGCAACTGAAGCTAGAGGCTTCTGACGATATCCCTGCTGCCTTCCTCTGAGAAAACGAGTACTCTTTGAGATTTAATTTCTTGACATGTTTATGCACAGTGTTGGTGTGCATGGGATTGTCATGACTGGTAAAACTTGTGCAAACATGGAGTCATGCTCTGTGATGAACAGCACACATGGGTAATTTGCAACTGAAGCTACTGGCTTCTGACGAGATCCGTGCTGCCTTCCTTCTGAGAACACGAGTCCTTTCTGAGATTAAATTTCTTGACATGTCTGTGCACAACTGTTGGTGTGCATTGGATTGTCATGACTGGTAAAACTTGTGCAAACTTGGAGTCATATTCTGTGATGAACAGCACACATGGGTAATTTGCGACTGAAGCTACTGGCTTCTGACGATATCCCTGCTGCCTTCCTCTGAGAAAACGACAGAAAACGAGTACTCTTTGAGATTTAATTTCTTGACATGTTTATGTTTATGCACAGTGTTGGTGTGCATGGGATTGTCATGGCTGGTAAAACTTGTGCAAACATGGAGTCATGCTCTGTGATGAACAGCACACATGGGTAATTTGCAACTGAAGCTACTGGCTTCTGACGAGATCCGTGCTGCCTTCCTTCTGAGAAAACGAGTACTCTTTGAGATTTAATTTCTTGACATGTTTATGCACAGTGTTGGTGTGCATGGGATTGTCATGACTGGTAAAACTTGTGCAAACATGGAGTCATGCTCTGTGATGAACAGCACACATGGGTAATTTGCAACTGAAGCTACTGGCTTCTGACGAGATCCGTGCTGCCTTCCTTCTGAGAACACGAGTCCTTTCTGAGATTAAATTTCTTGACATGTCTGTGCACAACTGTTGGTGTGCATTGGATTGTCATGACTGGTAAAACTTGTGCAAACTTGGAGTCATATTCTGTGATGAACAGCACACATGGGTAATTTGCAACTGAAGCTAGAGGCTTCTGACGAGATCCCTGCTGCCTTCCTTCTGAGAACACGAGTACTTTGTGAGATTGAAATCTTGACATGTTTGTGCACAAGTGTTGGTGTGCATGGGATTGTCATGACTGGTAAAACTTGTGCAAACTTGGAGTCATGCTCTGTGATGAACAGCACACATGGGTAATTTGCAACTGAAGCTACTGGCTTCTGACGAGATCCGTGCTGCCTTCCTTCTGAGAAAACGAGTACTCTTTGAGATTTAATTTCTTGACATGTTTATGCACAGTGTTGGTGTGCATGGGATTGTCATGACTGGTAAAACTTGTGCAACTTGGAGTCATGCTCTGTGATGAACAGCACACATGGGTAATTTGCAACTGAAGCTACTGGCTTCTGACGAGATCCGTGCTGCCTTCCTTCTGTGAACACAAGCAGCAGTTATATAAAACTATAATATTGAAATATATTGAATCTCTTCACAACGTGCTGTACTGTATTGCCCGCTTCTGTGCGGCAGTTGCCATGATTGGCACAAGCTTTGCAAATGCGGTCTTTGATCATTCACCTTCATCAGTTGCACTGCCAGGAACAGGAACAGCTTTGTGTGCGTCGGATGACCCAGCCTTTCCATCGTGAGCCATCGATAGAACAGTTATGAACATGTATGAACTGCAATATCCTTCAATGTCTAGTGGTGTCTTGTGCCACTTCCACTGCATACTTTGCGCAAGATTCCTCTCTACGGACCATGACATCCGTGACATCCGTGACAAGAACTGTGGCGAGCGCCAGATCTGCCAGGCCTGGAAGAAGAGGTTCCGGAATCTGCCCCGGAGGCACTCTGCGAAGTGCATATATTCTGCTAAGGTTTGTGGTTGGATTGCCTGAGCAAACCATCGTAAATCGTATACGGAGGTTTTTTGGGTCCGGGTTGAGCTCATCAAGTCATCAAGCCTTCCTCTTCGATCTCTTGGATCTCTTGGATCTCTTGGATCTCTTGGATCTTGGTGGAATTGCACAGACTCTCTGACTCCACAGGTAGTTGTGAGCTACGCAGACGTCCTAGGGGAATTAATGGAAGCCAAGTCAAGGCCTCAGACCGACTCAGACCGACTCAGACCGGTAGAGAGATTTTGGATAATTTTGGATGAGGTTGGATAATTCGGGTGCGGTGTGAATTGTCAATCCCTAGAGTCCCTAGAGGGATGCCAAATTGGACAAATTGATTGGAGCCACATGAAAGACATTGAAAGACGAGATGACTTGTGAAGAGGCAACCCCAGCCATGGTGAGTCTCCAAGCTGTTGATTGCTGTGGTATGCGTTGTTAAGCTCCACATGGAGAGACCTGCAAGATCCTAAGAAGATCTTTGAAGTATGCCACATTTTCATAGACTATCCATATCTATCCATCATTAATTATCATTATGGTTAGTGTATTATCAATTATTATCATTATATATCCCAAAAAACATCGCATATTATCACTATTATCCCAATAGAGGATGGCAACTCGCTATGGGACGGCTATTGGATAAAAAATGGGGTTTAGAATCTCTTTGCGTCCGGGCGCAGAATATTGCAGAGGTCTGAGCAAATTGCTGGCATTGCCATGGTGTGGTTGCTGATGCTGGCAGCGAGTCTGCATGGTGCGCACAAAGGGATGGGATGATTGGGATGGCAATGTGATGTGGTACTGTCAGTTGGTAACCATATTAGTAACCATCAATAAAGAACAACAATCAATCCTTCAGATGTCACAAGGCCGCACGGTGGTTGATGTTTTGAATGATTTCGATGTGTGGAACCACGTACAGGTTTTGTAACTAGTTTGATGATTTGAAAACGTAGCACCGTATTGTATACATCACGTTGCATCACTGTGGTGAGTGCAACACCCTTTGGCAATTTGGGGCAACCAGCTCTGCAGGTCTTCCATACTGTTCTGCCAAGTACGGAGCTTTTGTGGGCCAAGCCGACTTGGCATTGCGCGGTTTGGATCGATAGAGGATGGAATCGTGCTATGAGAAATACTCAATAATTGATTCCAATGATACGACATCGGAATACGGACAACATATTGAAAAACATGTGTCCAGGGATGGCTTGACCATGAAACGCTGCATTCGCACAAGACCACCCCAAGCCTCTGACACACTCCACTGGTCACTGGTCGGGCTGTACTGGCTGTACACGCCAATTTTTTACACAAAATGCTTGCAACAACCATGCTCTGGAGGACATGCTATACAGACTATATAGTGAAGTATGCATAGAATTGCGTAGACAAGACTCTGATGTGCATTGAGTTGTGTATTCAATTGTGTGCAGTTATGTGTCTTTGTTGTAGCTATGCAGAATCGCACAAGACATCACACGAGCGCCAATTTCAGCAAGTTGAAGAAGAGAGTAAGAAAACTTCAAGAAGACCTAAGAAGACCTCGGTACTTTGTGTTTTGAACCACACCATACCACACCTGTCAGTTTGCTTGGCGGCTTTGCTCAGCACCTTTGCACTGGTCATGCAGGATGCTCAGACCTACCATGTTTTTTTGGACGTGCCGTGACATGCCGTGACATGCCGTGACATGCCATGACGATCAGAATTTCAGGACTGCTGGAGAAGGGCACTTGACGTAGTGTTCAGCTAGATTGATTCATGACAAAAGATGATAAAATTTAAAAGCATATAAAAGTGAAGAACTTGCAAAGCGGTCAACTTCTCTTTCAAAGTGGCTTGCAGGAATTCTCAAGTGCGTCAATCAACAATGTGACTCAACTATACTCAACTAAGGTGACCTCAATTTCGGATTTTGTGGAGTTTTGAAACAGAGACACTGAGGACATGGCGCTTCCAAGCTACGTCGTACCTGAATCCCATCGATTGGTTGAAAGGGGGTGAGGACAGGCTGCACCAGCAGATGCTGAATTGGAAATAATTGCAAGAGGGACCAGTTGCAATTTTTGGTTAAGTGCTTAATAAGTGCTTGCACAGGTTGCAATTGCTGTATTGAGCGCTTCACTTCAGAAAGGCCACCATGTTTCACCAAACGTTGGATATCATATATAATATAATATTATTATATTTGATAAAATAGCATAATAAATATATCCGTGCAAGGTTTCTTTCATATTGTTCAGACATGGTCAGATTGTGGAGGATCGTCACCCAATGACCTTCCCAATGGTGGCTTTTGGTGTGGCTGCTCAGTGCTCTGTTGCCACATCACAGACGTCCCTTGAGTAATTTTGAGTATGATACCACGATATACCACGATGATATGCTTGGAGGCACAGATCAGTTCGTCCAAGTGATCCAATCTTGGAAGGTCAAGGAATTTGAAAGTGATTCCTCTCCCGATCGAGGTACTGGATTCCTGGGTGCCATGTTAGGCGCATTGGGTGATGATTCAAGTTACTGTACTCGATTAAGGCGAATTATCGGAAGCAATGACGTCACATTTTCTCCTACCCTGACTACCAATGAGATCAATGAGGCGCTATTTCTTGGATCCAATTGCGGAAGCATCACTTTACTCCGTGACAGGAAAGTCACGTTTCGAGTGGTTACCCCATACAACGAATCGTCGAGTGTTGTAGATTCATCATGTTTCATCATGATTCATCCTGATTCATCATGGATGCATGATGATGCATGCATATGTCATAATATGATTATAATTATTTATAATTTATAAATATTTATAATAATGTTCAATAATGTCATTCAATATGGTTCAATCATGTTCAATATGTTTCCAGCAGTTTTTCGAACATTTTGGATGTGCCAGGCCTTGGAGGCGGCATTCTCTTGAGCCCGGTGTTGATTGAGGCGCGATGTTCCAATCAGGCGTGTGTACTGCAAGATGATATACTTTAAGTATCTTTAAGATTCTTTAACTATCTTTAAGTTGTATTGTATATTTAGTATGGTAATTTATGTAATTTTGATTTAATTTAGTCTGTAATTTTGTATGTAATTGCTGTATAGATGTGTGTAGGGTTTGATTTGATATGCCTTGTACATGATGTCAAGTTCCCCAAAGAGTTATTTGATGTTATGGATTGAGCTCGTTCTGAGCTCGCTTCTGAGTCGAGTCCCCTGCTATGACACAACTCATCCCTGCCCCAGGTTGGCATGCACAGCGAAGCAGTACAGGCGGGGAACACGTGGGTGATCATAGCTGTGGGATGCTGTGTGTGTGTTGCTGGAGCATCTCGAATCATCGAATCTATACATTCAAACAACCAAACAGCTCAAAAATCTTTAGGAATCTTTAGGATGCTTTAGGATTCGTAGGATTGGTTGGTGGTTGTAGAACAATGCAAATGATGAACCTATGATGAACCTATGATGAACCTATGATGAACCTAAAAATCACTTGGCTTTCGCATATCTTCGCATGCCTCAAGCCGCTCAAGTCTCCAAGCGATGGAAGCTGTGACACGTGAGGCGACTGTAGCCAGCTTCGTGTTTTTGCCTGGGCCTCTTCGAAGTGAACATCACGCTGTGCATACACTGTGTCTTCTTAAGCCACAATGAAAAGGGGGAATTCATTTGTCAAATTTGTCAAAGCCTTGTGTAGCCAAGCCAAAGCGAGGTGATATATGTATGTATATGTATGTCTTAGAGAAAGGTGATTTTGACGTGAGACGTGAGGTTGCTCGAGGCAACTTGAATGAATCCCTATCACATCTTATCACATCGATTCATATTTGGGTATATTTGGGAGATACGGGCAGCCCTGCACATGTTAGTCACATGTTTTTCCTTGCTGCTGGAACCGTTCCCGTGGCACCAGCACAGGTCCAGCTCTCTGGCAACAATCCAGTACTTCATGATGGATCAGTCCCTTGGAGATTGAACCATTTGGACCGATTTGGACCCAATGTTCGCAGGGTGGCATCCAACAGCGGATCATGGTGGCATCCAACACGTGTTGATTGCTGCCCAACAGCAGCATCTTGCAGCTACATTCATCATCATTCATCCACGTGTTGGAAGTTTTCAAAATTTGCAATCCAGGATGGTCTGCAACTCAGATCTTGATGATTTTGATTGATTTTTATCATATAACTGTACATAAATGATTATAAAATGATTATACATATTATTAATATTATTATACATGATTATAAATGATTGTAAATGACTATGAATGATTACAAATGATTATACACGATTATAAATGATTGTAAATGATTATGAATGTATAATAAAAATAGTTTGTCCTTATCCAATTTTGGGTTGACGCTGAGGATCGTTTGGCACTATGCCTTGTGGTATGGGATGGTGGCCGTGGGAGCGACCTTCCTGGGGCAGACGGCTTGCGAGGTGGCCATGGCTAGAAGAGTGAAACCTGACGTATTGAAAACATTTGACAACTGTATAACAACATGTATTATATTATATAGTATTATATATATTGATATTATTATGTATATATATATATATGGAAAACAACTGCATATATATATATATATGACATATATAAATAAATAAACAAATAAATAAGTACAAATATAAATATACACATCAGCACTGTATATCATATATCAAATCTCAAGAGTACCACCATTTCGCGGACAGTCGAGAAGGGCTGAGTGCGAGCGCCTTTGGAAAGATGTTCAAACGGAACAGTTTCTTTTAAATTGTTACGCAATGGTCTTGGGCAAGTTCAAGACATGGCAATAAATGCAACCTATGGCCATCCCAGATGAAGCCGAGAAACTGCGACAGCGAGGATTAAGAGACTTCTGTAGCACTGGAAGAAGGTGGCACACTACTGTGCCGGCCTAACTACTCCCAATCGGCTAAGGACTGGAGATGTTTTCCTTCATAGATCAGCTGATGTCCCTTTGAAACCACTATGTATCGAATAGATACCACTAGAACACATCATTTGATGATTGTTTTATGTGGCACCTCTTTTTCAGCCGCTTTCTCTTGATTGGCCTCAACCTCTGACTGCCACTGCTCCGCTGTGCAGATATTTATCCGGAAGCGACGGCGTTATTCCTTCATCACGCCCCTCAGCTGACACAGACTGAACCAGGGGTTCACGATGAGACAATATGTAGTTGGTAAACAAAAGTCATTGATGCAAACTATTACATACCGCTGTACAAAAGAAAGTTTGACATGAAGTCTCTTCGCTATACTTTGGTAATTCTATGTAATTCCAGTGTTTGACAGGCCACTTTACGTTTGATGTGCTGTCCAGAAGCACCACAGGCTGTCCGTAGCATCGGTACTCTTGCTCTCGTTGATTTGCTTATGCGTTGTGGGCACGAAAACAGCTCCTTGGTGCGCACTAGAAAGGACTGAATCGTGATTAATTGCTGGCATTTCGTGGAATTTGTTTGAATTTGCGTGAATTTGGCACATGTGATCCTTGTTCATTTTTCTTTTGATTTGCACTTCCTGCTCGAACTTGTGGTATGCCCGAAATGGGTTCTGGTTGGTAAGGTGGCGCACGACTACGACATGGGCAAACCCTTGGGCTTCAGCTTCACGCGCCTGTGTCGCTTGGAAATGCTTGGAAATGCCTGGAAATGCTTGGAATGTGATTTCATTTCATGTCATTTCACTATGGTTTTATAGTTGTTTTTCTCTTGCAAGATGTACAACCCGTGGTACAGGAGTTGAAATAACCCTTTTGCTAGTTCTATTAGATTCAAGTGGAAGCTGTTGTTCCAGTGTTGGGGATTGAATCTGCTTGTATTACAAACTGATTGTTCTGATTCTAGTCAGAGTGGATGCTTTTGCCTTTTTTTGAATGCAAGATGTAAGAGCTGACGACATTCCTGGCTACTGTTCGACAGGTCAAGGCTAATAGGAGTTCCTGTCAACAGTCTTAAGATTCTTGAATAATTGCAGTAAGGGCCTTTGAATTCTGATGGATCACAGTGCTTAGTTTACATATCCGACTTGGGGACTTGTCGAGACCCAGTTAATGCTATGGTTAGCCGGTGCTAGCATGTTGACTCACAAGTGGTGCCATGGTCAGCGTTTGTACCTCTGCAGTTTGTCAATGCTGTTGCCAATTGAGGCAACAGTGGACGCGGTTCCATCATTCGGCCCAATGTCGCTATGGGTCACTTGCTTGATTCGCTGACTAAAACTTTTGACTAAAAGATCCGAAACCAAACCGAAAATTTTTGGAAGGTTGCAAAATAGTCCAAGATTTGCAACGACTTTGGACATCTTTGAACTTCTTTGGAGCAGAATCTTCACCAAGGTGATGGCGTTGCAATGCTGCGCTCACCTCATGATTGAGATGCACAGGATTGCACAGGCTCCCCGGCAGATCAAGAGTTCTGCACTGCCCAGTGTTCAAACTGCGGAACGGCAGGACGGGACTTTGCTTCGAAGCATTGTGTGGATGATTGAAAGGAACACATTGCAGCAAATCACGGTGAATGCGCAGTTGAAGTTGCGTTAACTTGCAAATTGTGCTAGTTTGGTGCAGAGCCCCTCCATATGTCACTGAAATAATACTGAAATGATATTGAAATAAACATCTTGGAATTTCGTGGAGACATTCAGGGACGGAGAACTCAGGCTCCTGAGAAGACCCAGAGGCGCATAGCTCCAAAGAGAACATTTCCCTAACAGTAGTCTTCTCAAACCATTTGTTCCATGATGTACTTGCAGAATCTTGCAGATATGTCGATGCTGCCCAGCCCGAGCCTTTCAACTTCAGAGGAAATGTGCCAAGTCTCACTTCATCAGCTGCCGAGGGGCGCGCTGGCACATTGTGTGCTGGAAAAGAAAAATGTTTGTGTCATTTTGTTTGAATACTCCAAGGGTATGACTGCATTGCAACACACGCTCAAGGTTTGAAGTATTGTTTGCCTCCTGCCTAGAACATTTTGATGACTTGACTTGACTTTGTTGAGGAGTTGAGGGCAAAAAATAGCCCCAGTCTTTTGTGGCTCAACTGTATCCGTCGCCATAGTAGCTGCAACGGTACGCCGTTTGGCTCAGCCCAACGAGACTTGAGCAAGCTGAAGTGGAAAGCAATGGTGGCACAAGAGTCATGTGATGTTCAAGAAGCACAAGTCTGGCACTGGCAATCTGTCACATATTTCCTTTAACTTTCTTGATTGCGAATGTCGTGCAGATTCTAGCTGTGTTGGCATAGAAATGGCATAGAACAAACAGGGTATATAGTATAAAGTGGTTGTTTCTCAATCGATATTTGAGACTCCCACATTTTGACATCCCTTCGACTCCATAGAGGCCAAATGTCTTCCAACAGCCAAGATTTTTTGCCCGCTTTTCCCTTTCAAGGCCGCCATTGCGCCGTGCACTGTGGCGGATGAAACATGGCTGCTGATTTGAGATGTACAGTTGCTCATGCTGCAGCAACTTGATTGAAATTCAAGATGTTCAAGGCATGCCCAGATCAGATCCATGATATTCTACGATGATCCATGCAGGCCATGAGCCTGAGAAACATGAAAAGACGCGACTTTGTGTCTTTGTGTTAGTTGTTTTATATATATATATATGTTTTATTGTTTGTTTTGCTGTGAATGTGTTAGTTTCAAATTTCTCCTGGGTCCTTCTGAGGTGGCCTTTGGGCAACCTTGCAAGAGACTTGGTCATCAAAACCACGATGGGCCATACAGGCAAAACCACCACTGCTCGAATCTGTTACTGTTCGTTTCGGAGATTTTCGGAGGGAAACTGGGTGAGTTGATTGGGACATATGGGACATATTGCGCATATTGGGACTCTTGGAACGACCGTTGAACGACCTCATTGACCTCATATGAATTGATATGAATTTAACAATTTGAACATTCCTTGAACATTCCTTGTAGACGTCGATCACAGATCAGCCACATCGCAGGCAGAGGATCTTCGAGCCTTGGCGACATCGCCGACGTCGATTCTGTGTGGCGGTGTTTGGTTCGTTTGATGTTTCTTGTATTTTTTTGCTGTTCCATGTTTCTGGAGCTGTTTGTCCATGTCACACAACAATGGTAACAACGATTAACAATGATAAGCTCTGAGAAACGATGAGAAAAGCGTGTGAATTTGAATTGTTGCGGATTAATGGGAATACTTGAAACATCTTGAAACCCTTGATGGAGTGCACGGTTCATCAACGATGGTGGTGAATCTTGCTTGATGATGTTGATGGAACTGTCATGGCTGGCAATAGGAAACAGCAGCCTTTTCGCAGTTTTACATTATGAACTCATATTTGTTTTTCTCGCCTTAGCAAATTTTCAGACCATTTCAGACCATTCTGACATATGTTGACCATTTCATAGCATTTCCATCCATTTCCATCATTGTCAAGCCATTTTCGGACGGCATTTTCGGAGGGTTCGCCCAGTGCCAAGGACGCCTCAAGGCTCCGAATCCGATGTCTGCATTCATGCGCTACCACGATGCCGGTGGACGCAGGCGAATGCAGCGTGGACTTTAGGGGCATTGGAATATATTGGAAATATATTGGAAATATGGAAATCTAACAAGACTGAACAAGTTAGAAGATGTTAGAAGAAACAGAACACTTGTGGATGAATGGTCTCCGCTATGAATCATGCAGTCGTGTTATCTTAATGAGAACTGGCACAAGCCTGTGTGGCGCAAAGTTGATTTGAGCCCATCGAACAGAACTTGTAGGAAGACTATCCGGCCTAAGGCTTTCGTTTGCGACGCATTGTGCATTTTGGAAACCTGAGTGATTTTGAGATATTTTGTGTGACAAGGTCTTGCTGGTTAAATAGAGGCAAAGCAATGGGGCCAGTGCGATCAGTGCGTTGGGGCCCTTTCAGGCTGGAAGACGACTACGAGTTGCAGGACCGGTGGTGTTGGCGCTGAGTTTGTTGTTTTGATTATCTTGATTCGCAGAGCTATACTACATATAGGGATAGGATTATACTATACTATGTATATATAATTATATATATATATATATATATTTATTGATATATATAGGGTAATCTAGGGTACTTCATGGTCATGATGTCCTAGGGATTGCCACGGTCTATGCATGAGGGCGGAGTGTTGAGTAGGATACAGGCCTCGCGAAGTTTCCACAAACAACTTAAAATTCTTCAATACTCAATGTCAAATTTATGATCTATAAATTCTATAAATCTATAAATACTCTATAAATGATTATAAATGTATATAGATGTTCTAAAAATACTGTACATGTGACGATTCTGGATATTTCTGGATGTTTGGATCTTCCGATTCGGCGATTTCTGGGCCAAATCCTCTCCAGTGCATTGAGCGACAGGACAAAGTCCTTGGCACCGGGATGTCGGGCAGCGTGCAGCTGGTAGCCAGCAGTGTCCCCAGTAGGGTAGTTCCGCAGACAATTTACTCATTGGATGGTTAAAAGTGATGTCTAGTAACCATCCAATTCATTCCAATTCACCATCCAATTATTGGGGTACCCAATTTTGACCCATGTGACTTACAGGCTGACTTACAGGTGTGAATTTCAGGTGAATGGGCCTGAATGGTGCCAAATTTTAGGTGAATGGTCTGAATGAAAGCTGTTTCGACTAGCCTAGTTGGTGAGAGTTAAGATGGCATTTGCACCATCTTAATGTTCATCGACTTGGCCACATGGACCGTTCTTGCCAAAAAGTCAGAATGATTGAGTTCACACTGATTATTTCTGTTCGTAAAATGGTCTTCTGGCACTGGCATTGCTTGAGGCACTGTGGATGGGTCATACTACGCTCTCAAGACCTATGACAAAGACAGCATGAATCTCAGCCTCTTGGATAAAATGCCAGGAAGTGAAGGGATATTGTGACAAGCTGCTGATCGTGTCCCAGCGTACAAGCTATTTTGATCTATATTGTGACAAATCCACTCTCAAAGACGCTTGTGCATATTGTGACTGGGAAACAAACCATGCAGAGCTGGCAAATGGGTAAAGGTCTCGGAAGCTTCTACTGTATCATGTCTCTGAAATATTGGCATTTCGTGAAGTTACATGCAGAAAGACCGGTGTAGAATGGCGTAGAATAGATATCAAAAGATGGCAGGAGCGAAGACAGACCTTGCCGAAGTGGTTTCTGATCAGCCTCACCAAGGTCGGTACAAACTGTTGAAGCAAGAGGTAGAAATTTACCTCAGCGTGGATCACCCAAACATAGCACGTCTGCGGCTTGCCTCGAAATGGCCGACGCGAAAAGAAAGACCAGTTGCTTCATCTAAAGTCACAAATTGCATCAGACCTTTGGATGTTTGTCCATATATGAAGCGTATTGGTGCGCAAGGCACCAAGGTTCACCGATTTTTTGAAATTGAGTAGGTTGGGGTCATTGAGTTGCTGTTCTTGTCACGATCAAGTCCAGGTAGAATCTCACAATGAAAATTAATAATATTACATTAAATACAATGTTCTTGAGTACCATACCAAGAAGAGGAGGCTGCATGGTTTCGTCTCTCTCTCTCTCTCTCTCTTGATCTCACGGTCTCTCCCTCTCTGTGTTTATGGCCATCGACGAAGTGGGTAGAGCATTCTTAGATAGTCTTAGATAGTCTTAGAGTAGACTAATTATTTCTATTGTTGTCATTTGTTGTCATTTATTCTTCGCTAGCAGTGGGACGCAGGGAAGATGGCCTTCTCTGAGGATCGACGTTTACGAATGGGATGAAGGAATTGCACTGATTATGGAGCGCCTTGGCCAAAGCTGCTACTTCTCACAACTTCTATGGTCATGGAATGATGGATCATTTTTGAAGATATTTTGACTTTCAAAGATCCATTCAATGTTTGGAAAACATTGGTGTACGGTGTACGGTATACGTTAAACGATGTTTGTGTGCAGCGATGCTGCACCAACAATCAAAAAAATGCAATATTCACACCTCGTTTCTGCATCCCACTGATTTTTGTGCATCATTTTCTAGAGATGCCAGGTTGTAATGCAATGTATGTATTGCACTTTAACTTGAACGGATAAGCCATGGTGCTAGTTGCACAAAGTCACCTATTGGCACTGCTGGCAGGTTGTTGCTTTTTCGGTTGTGCCTGCAATCCACTTCTGCAACAGGTACTGCTCTGGCGGAGAACTACAACAGCGTTGGGAAACTGAAGCCTACGAGGAGCAAGATGTCATTGAGGTCTCGGCTGTGCTGCTACCCGTGCTGATTCATGGTGACTCATGAAGCAAACGTACTTCATACATCTTAATACATATTATGCAATAACAAATATACAAAAATAAGAATATGATTAATTATATTATATTTCAAAATATGTACACATGCGCAATGGTACACATTTATCGAACAGATACAGAGAGAGGGAGGAAAAGAGAGAGAGAGAGAGGAGAACGTGAGAATGAAGACCTGTTTGTAAGACATTCATTCGAAGGCATAGCAAAGATTGCCTTGCGTGTGTGAGGGTGTCTTTGTGTGCATGACAAAGAATGGAGCAGGCGACAAAGCAAATGCTTTATGCTGTGAACTACTTGTTGCCTGCTTGCACTGAACTGACCAGCGGAGAAGTTGAGTCAGTTGAGAGCAAGGATTTTTCGAAATCATGGTTCCAATGGTTCCAATGGTTCCAATGGTTCCAATGGTTCCGTCAGTGAGAACAAAGCTCTTGAAGGGACAGTTTTCTGTTTGCATCTCGGCATCTGAGGCACGCACACAACATTTGCCACCGGGACCTGAAACTCGAGAATTTCCTCTACGAGACTTGGTGCTTTTGCCCAGGTTTCACAGTGCGATGATCCCACGCATCCGATGCATCCGCATCCCATGGATCTAACATCATCTAACCATTGACCGTCAATATGCCAGCATATGCCAGCTATCATTTGTGGCTGAGTGTTTATTTATGTTTATTATCCTTTAGAGATATCTAAAGAAAATCTGAAGGCTAAGGGCAAGGTCGTTGAAGGTCATGAGTCGATTGTGAAGTTATACGATGATTCGCGTCCCAGGAAAGTCCCAACAAGAACGCTTCCTTGAAACTCATTGACTTCGGTTTGTCAATTGCATTGGATGCAGCTGGGACCAGCAAGTGCAGGGGGCAGTAGGTCTGTCGGTCGGATTTCCACAGCATTTGTGCAGAGGATTGCGTAAGCCTAATTTTCATGTCCTTCATGTTATCATGATAAACATGTCGGAGCAGTTTTCCACAGTGATTTCCTCACGTGGTCACAGGCCAATAGCATAAATTTGTGAGCAGCTATACGTTTTTTCATGTTTTTTCGGCTGTTCAGCAGAATCTCAGACCCATTAGACTCCACCTCTTGTAAACCGAGTAATTAATTAAACAGAATCAGTTTGACGCGATTCAAATCTTAGAGACGCGACAAGGCAGCTCAAGCACCCTTGACGCAGTCTGATTTTCTCGTGCATGATTATGACTGCAGGTCAATCTGGTTCGGGTGTGAACGTTTTTCTAGGGATACCATGGATATCCCATGATATCCCTGGTAATTACTGCAATATGATAGCATATGCGTTCTATTGCGTTTTTCTTTTCTTTGTTCATTTTCATGGTCAGTTGTATTTTGTGGATGTTGTAGCATTGTCATATCTTAATTAATTACACTACTAGTTAGTACATTAAAAAACTCAGCTTCAAGACTGCTTCCACCACAGAATTGACACTGACAGTGCAAGTATGTATATAGCTATATGAAGCCGTTTGAAGAAATGGGGGGCGGGGCGTGCTTCCTTTCATCAGAGATGGGCCGGACGCATTGTGAGGGGCAAGCGGAGGCCCCCCAAGGATTCCAATGAATGAATCATAATTGTCCCGAACAATTCCTAGTATTCGTTTGATGCCCCAAGCAACACATGCTCCGAATTTCAGCAGAATGCAAGCTTAAACACCCTGGCAGAATGTTTCGAATGTTTGTTGGTCCAGAATCCAAACATATCCAAACATATCCACACATATCCACACATATCCAAGCCATGCAAAACTATGGAGGATGAGGAGATGACCATGAAGTCCTCAGTGGGTACCTTGCTCTACTGCAGTCCCGATGTCATCTCCGGGAAGGTCTGGGACCAAGACGGCAGGTGAAGCTGCAAATCACAGTATCTTACAGTCAGAATTATGATTTTACTCAGAGGATGATAATGGTAAAATATGGTAAAATACTGTAAGTGAGTTTTAGTCATATTCAGTCATTGGATGATATGATATGGTCTCGTGAAGCAGACGTCCAAAGCTAAGGCCTACACCAGCAAATGTGTTTCTCGGTTTCTAAGGGCGCCGAACAAAACGTTTTGAGAGGTCTTGGCCAGTTGCGGTCAAAGATTTCCGATAACTTGCCAGAGCAGCTAGTAGCCCATGATTTGGGTGTTGGTATGCATCGAAAGCGGCGGAATATGGCGGGACTGATTCTGAGCAACAGATAGAAACAGCGTGAAGCAACCAGGACTTGAATAAACAGCTGTGAGCAGCTCTCGAAGTCACCCAAGTATACTAGAAAGCCCTATTACCCTATTGGCCAGCCTCATGGTATGTGTTGCGACATATCGATATTTGCAAGTATGCCCAACAAAAATCTCAGGATATGTGAATCGTGCTGCCAGAGCTATCAGCAGATCAAATCCCGCTGAAGTATTCCATATTTCAGCGGGCTCACCATCATTTGCCCAGGGTTTGAGGGATACAGGAAGCCCCTGTATTTGGGCGAGCCATGGTTTTTTGTTTTCCATTTACATCAATCCATTGATACGGCATGATATGGCAAAAATCAAGAAAAATGGTTGCCCTGTGGCAGTGCCGCAATAAGGACTTGTGGAGCCTGGGCGTGATTGTGGCTCGGACGGCTTGAATCCTTTTGAAACATGCGTGCCTTCAACAGGTGAGCAGCATGTTTAAGGAGTGCAGGGATATCCAGAATGTGACATGGTGTGGCAAACGTATTTGGAGGGCATAGATGTGGCACGACATGGTACGACTACGTGCAACTGGTGCAAACAAATGGATACACAATGATACACATGGACAAGGAATGACAAGGATCTTTTGTATGATTCCAGTATGATCAAGTGACATTGCGGAAATGGGGAAATGGTTGATCGGTTCTGGAGGTGTCACCAGATGCATCCCACCGGTCAGACAAGTCTCTGGGGGAAGTTCTTCATGATGTTGATGTTCTATCATCTATATCTACTGTGTGAATGAGCGCAAGTATATACACATTGACCATATAATGTTGTTGTGATATATAATGATACATACATACACATATACATATATATATATATATTATAACTATATACATATAATATTTAATTGCCTGCGGCAAGCCCGCCGGCCATAGCCATTTGGTGCATAGAGACATTTTATATGAGCCTTCGGCGTAGTCGCAGACCGTGGCCTGGACAAAAACAAGGCCAGTGTGTGTGTGTGTAAAAGCATCTGTGCGTCAAAGCTGCGGTGTGTAAAAGCTTCTGTGTGTAAAAGTGCGTCAAAGCTGCGGTGTGTAAAAGCTCTGTGTGTAAAGCATCTGTGCGTCAAAGCTGCGGTGTGTAAAAGCTTCTGTGTGTAAAAGCATCTGTGCGTCAAAGCTGCGGTGTGTAAAAGCTTCTGTGTGTAAAAGCATCTGTGCGTCAAAGCTGCGGTGTAAAAGCTTCTGTGTGTAAAAGCATCTGTGCGTCAAAGCTGCGGTGTGTAAAAGCTTCTGTGTGTAAAAGCATCTGTGCGTCAAAGCTGCGGTGTGTAAAAGCTTCTGTGTGTAAAAGCATCTGTGCGTCAAAGCTGCGGTGTGTAAAAGCTTCTGTGTGTAAAAGCATCCGTCTGTGTGTAAAAGCAAAGCGCTGTGTGTAAAAGCTCTGTGTGTAAAAGCATAAAAGCTGCGGTGTGTAAAAGCTCTGTGTGTAAAAGCTAAAAGCTTCTGTGTGTAAAAGCATCTGTGCGTCAAAGCTGCGGTGTGTAAAAGCTTCTGTGTGTAAAAGCATCTGTGCGTCAAAGCTGTGTGTAAAAGCTTCTGTGTGTAAAAGCGTCTGTGTGTAAAAGTTTCTGTGTGTAAAAGCCTCTGTGTGTAAAAGCTTCTGTGTGTAAAAGCGTCTGTGCGTAAAAGTTTCTGTGTGTAAAAGCTTCTGTGTGTAAAAGCCTCTGTGTGTAAAAGGCTTCTGTGTGCAAAAGCTTATGTGCGTAAACTTCTGACGAGTTGAAGTCGGAGGAGGCGTAGGAGTGGGAGTAGGAGTGGTAGTAGTACCAGTGGCAGTAGTACCAGTGGCAGTAGTGGCAGAGTAGTGGCAGTAGCAGTAGTTGTAGTAGTAGTAGTTGTAGAAGTAGTAGTAGTTGTAGTAGTAGTAGGAGTAGGGGGGGAGGAGGGGGGGTGACTTTGATTCAGACGAAGCAAAAACGCGCGGGAAGAGAACAAAGGAACAAGTACAAGCCAAGAACAGAAACATGTACAAAACAAGAACAGAAACAAGAACAACACCTCACAATCAGACACGCCGGCAGGCCGGCGGATTATATATATATGTGTGTATAGAGAGAGAGAGAGAGTGTATTTCTTTTGCTTTTCATCGCCTTCTCGTGACTTACCTTTATTGACCTTTCAAATATGAAATATGTGTGCTGACCAACTCCAGGAACAAAGGACAGGAGACGACAGGAGACGGTTACTTCTAGCAGGGTGACTGCGTTCGCTGAAGGTTTTTATGTTGCTGAGCGGGCGACCACCCTACGTGACTTCTATGGGGCATGAACGCTTGCGCAGCTCGGACAATGTCCGATGAAGTGTTTCATTCTTGTGATTCGGTAAGTCTCTGCATTTTTCTTACCGAGGATTCGCATTTGTCAAATGACCTTTCTCAGTCATCGTTTTCTTATTGGTAATTAAGGCGGCGGGGGGGGGGGGCAGGACATGACAAAAATTCAGCACCCTTTATTTTGGTCTCTAGTTTTCGCAGTGTTTGTGTCCAAAGTACCCACAGTTCAGATGTGATTTTGACCTATTTGCGTTCATTTACTTGTTCAGGGACCCCGCTAATGGCCGAGGTAAAGACATCAGTCGCGCAAAGGTGCAATGGGATCGGCTGCAAGATAGCATTTCCCCAGAGGCGACTCTTGGGCAGCCAAGGTGATGGCATAGGCATTGCAGAAATTGTATGGGATCATGGCTGCCATGCGGATAATGGACAGATGATCAACAAGCATCACCAAACATGCAAGGACTGAAATAAGTATTAGTAAATTCATTCTTGTACATACTGCATATACGTCTATATACGTATATATAATTATATATATATAGTCAGTATGTGTGCGTTCCATGTGTTCCTCATTCCGCATATCTTTCAATCTTGATTTGTGCAAACTGCTGCCATGCGACTGAATGCGGCTGAATGCGGCAGAATGCGGCTGAATGCGCAGCTGCAGCTGAGGAGAGACTTTGTCCAGAAGCTGTTGGTGCTGGATCCCTCACAACGGATGGATGCGACTTGCCATGACTTGCCATGACTTGCCGTCAGTCTTGACAGTGAACTCACTGGACTCAGTGGACTCAGTGGACGTAGTCGTTTCGACTGGGGCCCTTGCAATGAGATTTGAGTCTCCCTTGCATGATATTGCATGATACTGTACCACGATTACCACGTTTTTTGCTTATACTAACGTGCAGACGTGATCGTTGAATTTATTGATGCAAGAGGTTGAGGTATCAGGACATATCCGGACATATTCATGAGAATCAGTGGTTTATGTAATTTATGTAATTTTATGTTTGGATTTCTGAAGTATTCTGAAGCACAGATACAAATGACGTCACTTAGCCGACTTAGCCACTTGGATCACATTCACATGAGGATTTTGTCCAAATGCTTTCCCCATCCTTCGGGATGGCTGTGAAGGCAAAAAGAAGCAGATGCCGACATTAAAACAGCTAAACGGCTAAAACAAGATTAGCAAGCTCAAATCATTTCAAAAATATGTCCATATCAAGATGATTCAAGATTATCAAGCTTGCAAAACACACATGCATCGCTGCATCACATTTAAAAATATGTAAAGGCCATCCATGGCTCTTGTTGGATCTCATGGACTCATGTACTCCTGGCCTAAGGCAGCATCAGCACTGGAACATCCATGGCTGGCATCCAAGGCAGGGTACCTAGCGTTGATTCCTCGCACAGACCTGAGTTTGAAGTGATGACAACAAGACAAACAAGAGGCGCTTGAAGGCACAAGAAAATGTAAGAAGATGTAAGACGATGTGAAAATAGCCGTGTGTTTTTTTGTCCTGATGTATTTTTCCTGCTTGCGTTATTTGCAGAAAACAGGGCCTGAGGAAGAGATTAATGATTACTTTGAATTCTTTGATTACTTGGAATATCTTGGAATATCCTGGCATATCTTGGAATTGTGGACTGCAGGCATTGCAGATTAATTTGCAGCCTCGTCATCACTGTTGTGCTCGAGGTGAGAGAGCCTAATGCAGGTCCTCATTTGGGAGGTGACGTTCTGGTTGCCTTGAAGCAGTGCCCCAGAAAATCCCCACAATTTGTAGCAGTTTGTCCACATTTTTCGAGAGCTCATGTGCCAAAAAACAAAAGGCATCTTCTTCAGATTGGCTCGTGAACAAATGCCACGGAAGTTAACTAGTGCAACGTCTACCTTTTGCAGGACTAGTTTGGAAGGACTCGAAAACACTTTGATTTGTCCATTGAGATCGTACGTAGTCCTTCCAAAGTGTTTCCGTGACTGCGTTTGGAGATCGACTCGCATTTGAGCGTGGCCCAACGTGGCTGGGTTTTGCTCCTTTTGACTCCGACATTTTTAAGGTGTCAACACCTGCGCTCCTGGCTTCTAGGTACATGAAGCAGTCCAAGCTTCAACGTTTGCTTTTGCCAGGGCCTCGCGGAAAGAAATGGAATGAAAATCGACCGTCGATTGGTTCAAAGTTTGAAACCCCAGTTTCCTTCTTAATCTTATTAAGATTCTTTCTCCCTTTGCCTTTGCAAAGGATGCGAGTGCAGCATTTTGCTCCATGATTGATCCAATTAGAGAGCCAACAGAGAGCCTGATGGTGCCGTGATGCAACAACAACAGCAGCAGCAACAACAACAACAACAATGTTGCTGCCACCAAGGCACCTCTTGGCGCAGGAACTCGGTCCCGAAGAAGCCAAGGAGATGCGTTCCTCGGATGTCGATTCATCTCGATTCATTGTAACATTTTGATCATTTTGTCAACCGCTCCAGCATGCACCCCGAATCATGCCGATCACGATTTGATTGTCACGTCACGTCGATTGCAGATTTGGTGCCAAGAAGTCTGGGGGTGACAACAGCTCCACCAGAGAACCAGAGATTCGTTTTCATTTCGTCTTTGGTTTTGCCTTAGGCAAGTATTGTGACAGTCTGTGAAAGGTTTCACAGAAAAATCAAAAAGCATCCTTGCTCGCCAAGTGGTTATTCGATGCTGTTCGATGTTATTTGCCGTGCCACCACCATGGCTGGCCATTGAAGCAAGCCAAATACTTGATGTATCGAAATGATTCGAAATGTGATAATAGGTATCCAGGTTTCAGATCCAATATACAGCCATACACAGCCTGACATTTCAATACATTTCACTCAGAATGCTCCAGCGCGCCAGCTTTTCCGTGCCGCACCTTTGCGCCACCTCCGCATACCTCCGCTATGCCAAGGTGAACTTTTTCTCCGGATTGACTCAGAGTTGACCTCAGCAGAGCAGGGAATGTAAGGGTTTGCTGAGAGCCTCAAGCAGACTTAGCTTTCAAATGCTTCCAACAGTTGAGCCTTTTCATTTCTGCCTGGAACACCTCCATTGTCGTCAAGTTTGAAGCCTCAGCACCCTGTAATTCAAAGCACTTCCTGAAGTCTTGCGAAATCCTGGGATTTGTGAGCCAAATCGTCGCCAGTCAAAGGACGAGCGTGGCACCATCCGCCTTGATGACCTAAAGGCGCCAGCCTTAGGCCTTTTCCCTTTTCACTGTTCGTCACTTTAAGACACAGGGACGAGTACATTGCAGAGTAGTTGGAATATGTTGGACATTGTTGGACTATGTTGGAATAAATATAAGGTTGATGTGGTTTCAGAGCATTCGAAAGAGATGGCTTTGAGCTGATGGCTGTTGATTGTTGCGACAATGTTCACACCTGCCTGGTAGATCCTGGTAGTAAAAATCCTGGTAGGTAGCTACATGACTTCCTCTTCCCATTCAGGCAGCAATGAGGCAGAGACAGGCTGCCAAAGTCTGCGGCTAAGTCGGGAGTTCAGCGTTTTCCTAGAGACACTCTTACAAGCTCGAGCGGTTGACATACGAGTACAGTCTAAAGATGTCTAAAGATATCTAAAATATCTTTCTAAAATGCATTACACATTACACACGTGTTCGCGATTTGCTTCTAAGCGAAATGAGAGATGACTCCAACTATTACCCATGAACTCCAAGTGGTGGAAGACCATCTTAATCGAACGCATTCTTTCCGATCTTTCTGGAGCAATATGAGTTGTTGCAACATTTGTTGACCCGTAGATTGAAGGAAGGCCAATTGAAAACTCATGAAAACTCACTGATACATTATGATACATAACTACACCAACATGGAAAGCAAACATGCTGACGCAAACCGCATTTTTTCTCTGCCAGGGTGGTTTCATGTCACTCAGAAGGCGCAAACTGCGTTCGGCTGATCTGGCTGATCACTGCTGATCTGATTTGATCTTTGGGAAACAAGATGAAACCAGATGAAACAAAGTTATGTATCTCATAATTATTATCTCATGCCATGCAATGTGCCTTGGCGATGTTGCTGCTTCGCTTGTTCAAAGGATTTGCCTTGGCCATCCGTGAGGCTCACCTCTCCAAATCTGAGCCCCAGCAGCAACAAATCCGAGGAACAGGCAGCATCTCCAACTGACGAGCGTGTGTGACGAATTAAAATGAATTAAATACATTTAGATAATATATTATATATATATATTATATAGAATATATATAGATATTGATATAGATATATAGAATGAAGAAGTGAAAGGACATATTATTTGATGTTATTTGTTTCTTATCTTGATGGTTGCACGGCCACAGACATTTTGTGATATGATTTTAAAGGGTTAAAGTACAGAGTTTGCACTGATACTAGTGTGGATACTGTAAGTTGTTTCGGATTCCATGTCAGGATTGTAAAATATTGAATTAATTTAGCGACCCCCTAGCACTTAGATGTTTTTCTCTCAAAATTTGCATCACAAATATTTGCGATTTCTAAGTGCAAGAAAAAATCAAATGGCTTAGAATCATTTCATACGCATTTCTAACACATATAATTGTGTTGTTACGTGTATATATATTATGTGTGTTGTATATGTTCATGTGTGGCAATTAGAATACAATATATATATATGTAAATATCTATCACTGCCACCATGTTCCCAATCTTAAGGGAAGC